GATATCAAAAAAGTACTCCAGAGTGTTGTTCAGCATGGGGGTGAGTAGAAAATGAAGGCTAATCATGTTTTGGGTGTACTATTCCTTTAAGTTGAATAATTAGCTCCTAAATCTATGTAAATGTATGCTAACAGATGTACTTCTGTGTTACACTAACACACAGTATACTGTGTATATAGTATATGGCTCTGTACTATATATTGCATGTAGTTTATTGCATGTTTTATACTGTATATATCTATAGACTCTGTATTCTGTATATATATCTATTTTGTCTGCACCATCAACATAAAGTCAAATTCCTTGTAAGTGCAAACCTACTTGGCAATAAACTTGATTCTGATTCTGAAAAGCTTTTTTTTTTTAAACATAAATTAGCTTTTTCCATAAATATGACTTTTTATTATTCACTGTTTTTATTCAGTACTGTTTCCAAAGTCACTGATGACATTTGTGTAGGAGATCTGATGAAGCTCCGCTCTGCAACAGAACCAGTCACAGTGCAGGCCAACCGTAGAACTACCCACAGCTTTGGGGAGAGCTCAGATCTCATCGTCAGAGAGGTAACCAAGGAAATGAGGTCATCAGTGCTTTTTAGGAAGCTTTCTGTCTCAGGAGCGCACGCTCTCTAATCCCTATCAGAACGTCTCTCAAAGATACGTTTGTCTAAGAGAAGTTTACGTTAGTCCTCCCTGGTCTGAAAAATCCAATCCCAAAGATCAGCATTAATTTTCTCCATGGATAAGTAATGATTTCTACATAGTTAAAGATATAATGGTGTAGAAATGTACAATTTTATCATAAAATTGTGTTTTCCTGCCTTTAATTATTGGTGCAAGAAGTCAGCCCAGTAATGTGAAAAACAGACACAGTTATAAGGCTAATCCCAGCATCTGTATCAGGCAGGTCTATCATAAAGAAAAGATACAGGATTCAAGGAAGGTTCAATGATATCTGGTAATGAGCAAAGTTTATCATGTTTGCATTTGATAAAAAAAAAAAAAGGTTGTAACCATTCAGCATGTAAACTAATTCCAAACGACCAAGAATTGTTAGTGTTTTTTTCCCCCATTTGCTGACTCCACTTATTTTAGGTAACTCAATGTGAGATGGATTTAAGAGTTTAGAATAGGTCTGCAACTACCGATGAATTTGCAAATTGATTAATCTGTCGATTCCTTTTTCGATTCATCGATTAATAATCAGACAGCCAAAGGTTCCACAAACGCTTTTTATGAAATCAATCTAAAACTTTTCAACTTGAGGAGTTCTGGATAGAGCAGAAGTTAACGATTAATCTGATAAATTATTTCCGACCGTGTTTAGACCCTCAGCATAGGCTGCAGCAAATCCGTTTGTTGTTGATATTTGGTGAGTTTATTTTCTGAAGTACCTGTTTCAGTGTAACTAAACTTTTTGGCTGCTGTGCTAATCAACTACAGCTGCTGCTTCTGCTTTTTAAAGAGACCTAAGACTAACTGACTATGTTAAACACTAGGTCGATAACACTATACCCACGAGAACAGTGAAAAGTTTCCCAAATAAACCCGAGATCACAAGTGATCTGGAGGAATGCTCGACAAGGATAAAATAGCCTAATGTAGATAGACAGAATGAAATAAAACAGAATGAAAATAAAATGTATTTTCTGACATGGGGAAATGTGTCAGTGTGTGAAACAAAAAAAATAAAAAAAATGTATGAAACAAAATAAAAAAAAAATATATATATATATCTTAGAAAGGAAAAAAAGTAAAAAGTAAAACAAGCTTTAGGAAATCAAAAAAAGAAAAACAGCAGCTGATTTAGAGAGAAAATTGGGGAAGATGAGGGCACTGCAAAAAATGTACATCTAAATTAGTCTTTTTCTTAAAATAAGTGCGTTTTTCCTAAATTGTGGAGGTAAGTGAAAAACTTTGCCAATGGAACAAGGCAATTACATTTAAAATAATAAGAAAACAATTGCATTGTCTTATTTCCAGCGGATATTATCTAATTATCTTATTTTAAGGGTAAATAAACTAAATCTATTGGCAAATAATCTTATTTACCTACTCAAACTAGGGGAAACTACAAATAATTAAAGTAAATTTTTACTTACTTCTAGATCTTTCTTGCAGTGAGTATTGGTCAAGCTGAATGGAGTCCATTAGAAATATTTTGATCCAATTTTGCCGTCTAAAAATCTTTTTTATTTCATTCTGCATGCAATTTTTTATTCTGAATATTTAACCTTATTTAATTTGGATTTTATATATTTCTCATTATCGTTGGTTGCACTCTTTCAGCATATATGACCTGTAAACAAACTCAGCCAAATTAATACTGGGTTTTTCAAATTATTTTAATTCCTGAAGGTCGAGTGTAGACGTCAGATTTTTACTTCAAGGGGAAAACAATTTAATTGAAAATCTAGAGATTTAATTACATTTAGAAAATATCTCAAACTAAAACCTTTGGGAATAAGAAATATATGACTTTTTTTTTAATCATCCTGACTTATTAGAAAAATAAAATTAAAGTACATTTGCATCAATGACAAGGCTGTAATCTGGGTATAAAAGCCGACCACTGTGCCAAAATGCTGCACTGCTAAAATCAGATAAGTGGTTCTTGGCTCAGCCTGCAAGGTTACAGACAGCAGAGTGGGTCCCAGGGCGGGTGGGAAGCGGTTCCTACTGAGGGAAATGTCAGCAGCCTTTTAAGCAAATTGGAACATTTTTTAAACTCTATTACTTAGAGCGTTCCTCTCTGAAAGGGACTGACTGACCTGTCTCGGTGTGTGTGGCTCCTGGTAGCTGGGCAGGATCTTCAGAACCACACTGCCGCTCGCCTTCTTCAGCATCTCCTGCAGCACTTTGGGGTCATTGTCCACCTCTTTGCCGTTCACTTCTTTGATGATGTCACCCACATGAAGCAGGCCTTGCTGGTCGATCATGCCGCCATGAAGGATCCTCGCAATCACTAACTCACCGTTCTCCACTCGAAAGGTCACTCCCTGGCAGCAATTACAGCACACAGTAGTTTTAGGATATTTTTCTCACCAGATTCAGATATATAGAAGATACAACAGTAGTTTTGAACTATTTAATGTATTTACTATAGTCAGGTCTATATGAACACTATCCATATAGACCTGACTATAAAAAAGGTTAAACCCCCTGTTTTGGCTTAGTAGTAGTAGTCAATCGCATGTCTAACCACTGCCAGATCCACAGAACCAGTCATCAACACTAAACCTCACTAACAGCATGAAGTAGGATGAAAGATCATAAAAGCAACCATCACAAAATCAGTCATAAAAGTGCAACAAGGCCTTTCCTAAGGCACCTGAGGTCCGTTTCCCAAAGTAGGTTTAATGAAAACTTCAAGTTTGTTAACCGTTTAATCAGAGAAACTCTGGGGTTTAACAGATATAGTTTCCTCATCCTCTGTTACCATAGTAACATTGTCCCCAGAGCCAGTGGTGGACAAAGTACTCAACAATAATACCTTTAGTTGAGTAAAAATATTGATACTCATTGTCAAATTTTACTCACCTACATGTAAGTCACTTGTTCAAAGATCAAGTTGGAGTATTAAAGTATTCACTTTTGTAAACACTTAAGTATTCATAGGTAAATGCATTTAAAAAGTATTAAGTATTCAAAAATACCAAAACAACTATTTCTGAGATTTCAGTATAATTTTCAGAGTAACTTTCAGAAACCACCTGATGTATTGATGCATAAATTCTGCACCACCTGGAAAGAACTTCACCATAAAAGTGTCACAAAAAAATTAGAATGGCTATTTTGATTATTTCTTATTCAAAAACACCAAAAAGAAAACAGGAGACCCCTTGATTCTCCTGAAACTTTCAGTATGGAATAGAGGTTGAAAGTTGAATCTATCTATCTTACATGTTGAAATTGCATTTAAAGATTAACATTAATAGAGGATTACAAATCTAAGCTGAGCCAAAATGAATAAATAACTAACAGCTTCCTTAAAATGTAGAGGACTGAACGGTGAGCTGGCTTGCAGGAGGAGTAGTTTA